AGAGTGAAGCAGGATTCATCACTGAACACTATACGATGCCAGTCTGATGGCAGCCATGATAATTGGCTGCAACACCACTCCAGAAGACTCCGGTGATGTTGTGGGGTCAAAGGCAAACGTCAGGCCTCTGTGAGTGTAACCCCACATCAGACAAGCGCCATGAGATGTTGGATGGTACCACAGGAGGTATATACATGGCTGTAGTGCATTGAATAATCAACAATCATACTGTTGGGGCAGCAAACCATCATCCTATCTTGCCTCGCATTTGTGTTCCTTGGCCTTTCAGAGCCTTCATTTCGTCGGCAATTTCCTTGTAGCAACCATTGCTGTCAATATCTTTACACAGCAGTGTCTGTAGGCTGCAGGTGGCGGCCTATTGCTTGGTATGACCACCCAGCTTCAAGCAACCCTACAATGCGACCACATTCGAAGTCGTTTAGTTGTCTGTAAGGTATTTGATATCACCGTAATGGCATCTTTAGTCGCTTCTTTATGAAAGTACAATGGCAGCCAAAAAAAAAAAAAAAAAATCCACCTTTGTTACTGGTTTTATACTTTGCAAATCGTGTACTAGAAATGTGCATTGTGTTTGCAACTCCTGTTCATTTGCCTTGAAACTTTGATCATTTGCATTGTCGATCAAGATGTTTTTGCATACCAAATTCCATCATGATCGCAAAAGTTCTCGGTGCTTCGATTTTTTTTTTTTTTTTCCCCAAAAGAGTGTAATTTATGAAAACTAAATATTGGTTTCCTCTTTATACATAATGCTTGTTTTCTTTCATGAATGGTGTTAATCAAAGCTTTACTTTACCACTTTTGTCAATTTTCACATGCTTAGCTCTTTGGAAGCTTGTTTATATTAGTTCTTAAAGCAAAAAAAAATCAAATCAAGTTTTATGCATGAAGATATAAAATTCGACCATCCGAAGTTACTAATGAGTTTTTTTTTTTTTTTTTTACACAATATGAATTCTTAATTGCAAAATGAGTAACTTCATAGTTATTCATTAACCCTCTAAGTGGGCAAGGGTTTGGCCCAAAACATTAAAATTCCTCAAAAAGCTAAGATTAGGTGGTACTTTCCGAGAACGAGATTATACTTCCAGAATGATACTCCCTTTAATTTGTACCTTGATTCCTCTTCAACCAATGTACACAGTACCAATTCCATGATCCGGAATTATCGAAATTTCGACAATTCCAAATTTTGAAAATTTCCAGGATTTCAGATCATTAGTTTAAACCTTAAGGTAAACAAAATTTACAAAAAAAGTTCAATATTTATTTGCTTGTTTTATTAAACTATTCTTTCACTAATAAGTTGTTGAAGCTGTTTCAATTTATTATGTCAATATTCTTCCTTTAATTTCATAAACATAATTTCTTGTTTAGTTACAAATTTCTCATTCAAATCTTGTTACTGCTCTGACGAAAATTCCAACTAAATTATAACAATCTAAATCTTTTCATGCTCCCAAATCTGCCACTTTCATTGTCAGTAATGATATGTTCTGGATTTAATCTTTAAAAGACAGGTGGCCTAAGAATCGGCCAGAGCTGAAGTGTCTCAAAATGATGGCTGTGGCCTAAATATCGGCTAACGAATTCCCTTCCCTAAATCCTTCAGGGTGCGGAGGTAGTCATTGTCTGAATAACCTCCCTTGTCACTTACGCAAGATGAACTTCGCGCCTCCCAACTGTGGGGTTTCGCAAATTCCCTTTCGTTTCCTTCAGCAGTCAAATCTTAGCAATTTTACATTAGTATTAATTTCACAAACTTTTCAGTGTCATTAAAAATGTATTTTTCTCTTATATTTCCCCTTTTTATTGTAATTTTTGCATTTAATATTGCTGTTTGAAACATGCAAAATGCAATGGAGTGCAATGCAATGAAAATATAATCAATAAAATCTGTTTTTAAATTAAAGGAAAATATTTTTAAAAAAAGCTAAAGGATAAAAAAGCTTTTATCACAATAAAGAACAACGAACAATAATGTAGTTGAAAGATGAAATAACTTATGATACAATGGGGGGGAATCAATAAATTAAACTGAATAAGAATACTAATGAAAAAGATAAACGAAACTAATATAAGAAAAATACAGCAGGATTTGTTTGATATATAAATATAAGCTGTTATACAACGCTTGGAAACAAATAAAAGCGAACTGCCGATTTATACGAGAAACAAATAGTTAAATATCATTTTCCAGTATAAATTTAAAATGTTAATTAGTACATGTTGTTCTAAACTAAATTCAGTTAGGAAACAAATAAAAACTGAATAAACTCTGAACTGATTATAGGCGTGCGTTTGCTGCTAAGGCATATTTTCATTATGACGCTATGTCAAAAGTTAATATTCCAACATACAACAATTATTTAGCTACGAAATCTCACCATATGTTTCCCTAGTTTAGGGAAAAGAAACAGCAAAAAAGAGAACAAATTCAACAAATTTTTTTAGATTATTCCCTAGTCTCTTATCTGAAAATTAACAAAGGCGACTTACAGGAAAAGTTGCAAAAGAGTAGTAGTTTTTCTTTACAATGGCAGCTAAAAAGGGGGTGGAAATGCATTTGGATTTCCCGTCTTTTTAAGTGAAACCTTTTCAAACTGCCCCCGTCTCTTAAAGGTTAAAACCATACTACAGATTTCGCCATCCATTAGTTGACTGCTGATTGGAGTATTGTCATAACAATTAAAACATTTCATCAAATCATCTGCACTTATTATCACTTCCCTACATTTCTTCAGAAATTCATTTGATTGAAAATTTTCACCTTCTGCAGCATTCAAAATCTACAGCAAAATTAGGTTGCTGTTTGGCCTAATTTTGAAATTGTAATTTTTTAGCACGAATTGCACCATTGCCATTTTCTATTACCAACACTGCTATACAAGGGATATACCAAATATGCTTTATCCTGCTATAGATTCTGATTTAGAAAGTCTTTTCAACATACCCAAAAATTCAAACTTTTAAATTTGATAACTGCAATAATAGTCATAACTGGGAAAAAAATTACAAGCTGCATCAAATTAGTTATGGAAGAGCATGGACAACTTAACTGCTTCCAAATCTTTCTCTCTTCCTGCTGTTAAGCTATCAAAAGAAAGGCAATATTAGCAACATTCCACTCTAAAGAAATAAAAGTGTGGTCATGTCTAATATCAATCAATGTACTGTCATTGCCCCGATGTGATTCCTTAGCCAGCAAATATTTTAAAGTAATATATACGAATTTCAATTGGGAGAAAAATGTGCTTTTACAACACATCTGCCTTTTTTTATTATATACTCATTCCTAAATTCTGTCAAAAACACAAAGTTGCTGGTGGTCCAGATATTAGATCATTTCTGATTCTGGATGTTCGAATTTTGGACTTTGTACTGTATACTTTAAGCCTCCCAAAGTCCTACACTTAGCTCTAAAAGTTAGAACTTTAAGCCTCCCAAAGTCCTACACTTAGCTCTAAAAAGAAAAAGGTTTCCAAAAATGCCATAAAAATAGATATTTTTGATTGATCATAATGCCATTGTAATATTATATCCAGATGTTTTCTGTTCTATTAAAGATCCTTGTAAGCAGATTTTCAAAGCAGGAAACAAATAAAAGCGAACTAAAGCGAAATAAAAGCGTTCTTGTAACAGATTTTCAAAGCAGAAATACAGACCAGTCTAATACATGGAGAATAACAAATATTTTACTTACATCTATGGAACATATTTAAGCTTTTGGATCACATAAACAAATCCATTTATGGATTTTCCAGCCTCAGTGCTGAAACTGTTTTCATAAAATACTCTACATTATATTAAGATGGCCTGCGCCTTTCGAAATGCTTCACATGTATGTATAGACTTTTGGACATAAAGGAGAAACCGATTTTTCTTATACAAAATATTTTCAGCATACTGCTCAAGATTAACCATCACATTCCAGTAACATGCAGCTCTTAACCCTCTGGCTGATCATCCTGCAATTTCGACAGGCAACTCAAATGTAGCAAAATTTGCTCATCCCGCGATTTCCGCGGGCATATGTTTTTTTTTCCTTTATTGAGGAGTGAATCCAGTTTTTCCTCCGTTTAACCATTCAGTTTATGTTTTGGCCAAAAGATATCAATAGTTGTCCACTAAACTGCGGCATTTGAAAGCAAGTGGTATTAGCACTCAAACTTCACTTTCTGCCGCTTTTTTCTTACAGAAATGGCTGCTAGACAACATTCAGCGATTAAATTATTTAATTAAGATTTTGAATTATTAATTAGATTAATATTTGATTATTAATCAGATTTATTGAATCTGGTGCAAAGATTGTGAAGTCGGACTTTGCCTTGAACCCTGTTTTGAACTCTACCATACTAAACTGCATTTCTAAGGTATTTTCCCCTCAGAGCTTTATATTTTCTTAAATTTTATACATTTTACATTTTTATATTATGTAATAAATAAAAATTAACTGTAATTCGACTGAAATTTATTTTTAAAAAGTTTTTTTGGTGATAACACCTGAAATTTGTTTTTTTGGCAACTTAGTTTCTCATGATAAAAAGATATATAAAAAATATTTTCTAGACAGAAAAAGTGCATTTTTCAATTTTCCAATATATATAGATTTAAAAAAATGGGAAAAAAATTGGGGGGAAGCGATTTTGGCCCACAAATTGAGCAGTTACAGGGTTAAGAACCTAATGCACCTCATGAAAAAAACTCACATAATCACAAAGCAACTACCATTTTAAATAAGCAACTTAGAATACAAAACCTAGCACCATAGTGAAAAATTCCTGTTTTTAAGCTCTCAGCTGCAGAAAAATCACAAAATGAAATAAAGCAAACAGTAGCATTTAGTCTGAGTACCTCACACCCAACTTAAAAAATTATACATATTTCTCATTGCCAATATTTAAAGATTTATTGTATCTTTTTCTAAATACTTAATTTTCATATCATTTTGAAGAAAAAACAGAAATTTATCTGCTTACATTCATCCTTCTTGAGTTTCTTTTCTTTCTTTGCTAAAGCTTTCTTTTTACTAGATGCAATTTGGGCAGCTCTCTCCCTCATTCGTTTCAAATGAAAATTGATGAAGTTCCACATCATCCAAGCCTGAAGTAAACATACTGCAACTAAGCAGTTAATCCGAATAAGCTGCGTGTTAAAATTTCCAGAAGCAATATCCATTACACTAGCTGCTTGTTGCAATGCTAGACCATACCAAAATGTCAATACAGAGAGAGTTATTGAACCTAATCTTACAAGAACAAACAGACCATTCCATATTGTGAACCTATTCAAAAAAAAAAATAAATAAATAAATAAATAATAATAACTTGTATTCATTTTAAGTATTTCAAAAATAATAAAGACAAACATTTTTAACATATATAAATCAGTTCCAATAAGCATATTCAAACACTTTTGTGTTACTTAAGGCTACTGAATTAATTTTATTAACAGCAGGAATTTGTCATAACTCAATTCACATTACTTAACACAGTTAATTCCAGTTCACTGAAGTAATTGTTAATCTGGGAAAATAATCCATTAAAAAATACATCCATTTAAAGAAATGCCTAGAATTTTGATCAGAAACTGACAATAAATTGGGAAATAAAACTTGCTAAGTCTTATAATCCTACTGCAAATCACAACTCCTCAATATGAACACTTCATTCATGCCTCCCCCTAAAAAAAGATATAAAGTATTTCCCTCGCCTTCTTGGCATACCTTCGTGGTGTGGTGGTCTGCACACTCAGCGCATAATTGAGAGGTCGGTGGTTCGATTCTCGGCAAAGATGTTGCTAATTTTTCAATCTTTTCTGCTCTGAAAACAAATACTTAAAGTCTCTACAAAGGTACACAATGCCAAAAAAAGGGGGGAACAGTTCTATATCTTTGGTTCTACTGGCCGATTGACAAAATTCAAATTGCGTTTTCCACGCCACGAAAGTGTGGTTTAAGATCTATATTAGATTTATATATAGCATATTTCTAACAGAAGTATTTTGACATGAAACCGGACTTTTTCTGAAATAACATATCAATTTGTTCTCTTTTTCGATTCTACAACTCATATTATGTTATACATTTTGTAAAATTTGGTGCAAAATTTACGGAGAAATTCAAAAATTTATCTTGGCACAATAATTCACTTGTCAAACTTCTCAATATACGGCAACTAATTTTCTTTTCCCTTCCATTATGGCGGAGCGGGGAAAAAAGGCACCTTGTTCCTACCTTTTTACATTGTGTATGAGCAGGAAAAAAGTCACATCATTCCTACTTTCAAATAATTTTAGCAAAGTGTCTAAAACCCATTTGAAGTTTTATAGCTTTTAACAAATATGGCAAATTCAAAATGTACCAATATATCAATTCACGTATATCTTCCGAAATTTTGAATAAAAACTGTAATTTTTTGCAGGTATGCTTATAAATACATCTACTTTAAGATGATGGTAAAAATTTTATAGAATATAATTCAAAATTTTTTTGAAAAATTTATAAAAATTATTTTAAAATACAAATTTTTAAAATAAATCATAAAATATGGGTGAATTTAGAAATGTGAAGGGAAGAATCAAATAAGTTTAATAAAAAAAAAGAGATTAATAAATATATACCAAACTCAATTAACACTCGGGAGCTAACATTTTGAGAGCTAATTTTTTAAAAACTACTCGTGCAATTTTTACAAAACTTTATAGTTTGGCGTAATTTGAGTTGTACAATTGAAATATGAACAAAATTGGTATGTTATTTAGAAAAAGTCTTGATCTGTGTCAAAATACCTATATTAGAACAATGCTATATATAAATCCAATATGTATCCAAGTCGCGCCATCAAGACATGAAAAACAAAAGTTGAATTTTGTCAATCGGCTCAGTAAAACGGGACATAAAGAACTGTCCTCCCCCCTTTTTTTTGTTTGTTTGTTTTTGCACAGTGTACATGTTGACTATATAAGATGCTTCTTAGGATTTATGTTCAGTTGAAACTGTTTAAATTTTAAAAATATCTATTATAAAATTTAAATTTGACCAACATCATTACAATTTTCAGCAAACTCTTACATGATATACCGCATAAACGCTCATAAATATAAAAAATACGTTATGTCATGCAAATCCAAACAGAATACGAGACATTCTCTCACATTCACGAAAAAAAAAAAAAGAAAAAAAAAACTGAATTTGAGACTACAGAAGGTAAATGCCAAAAATTACTTCTTTGATAATCCAATCTCTTAGAATAAGATTAAAAAGTATAAATCCAAATCCATTATAAAATATTTAATGAGACGTAAAAGAATTCGAAATTAAATTTTTCAAAGTTATTAAAATAGTTGGTTAAAGAATTTCCAATATGAGAGGAAATGAACCACAGAAGATTTTAGACATAATAAAATATATAAAACTATAGTCCTCACATGCATTCCTCCCAAAACTTTCAATATTTTACTCTGCTATAAAATATCTAATGTCTAATTTTAAGTGACACCTCATTCAGAACTGCAAAATGGTTTTAAAAAAGGGGGTTAATCACTTTACATCAGAAAATACCAATAGTATGCATTGACAGCCATGTTCGTGTGCACAATTTCACACTGCACTATGAAACTCTGAAGTGATTCTCTTTATCATACGAACTATTTTTTTAAAAACATTTGATGAATATAGGGACAATGTTGATATTTTTAAACAATAATGAAAATGTGGTATAAATGGCAAATATTTTACCAATAATCTTGTTGCCACTGAAAAGTATCACAAAATTATTAAGGTTACTGATTTATACCACTACAATTATAAACAATATCGTACTTGTTTAGCTTAACATATGAAAATATATATTCATAACATATAAAACATACAGTCTTTTTTAAAAATGTATCTTAATAACATATTAACTACTTTTGGTTTCAAAAAATTATTTAAAACATTTTAAATTGGTGTAGGAGAGAGTATAAAAAACTAAGAAAATTTTTTAGAAAGATAAATCAAAATACCCATAGCTCGCTGCTTTAGATTTTTCTGCAAAATACAGAAGTCTTGCAGTATGAAAGACACTTTCAACAAGGTAATGCATCACTGACAGACAAATTGCTATTCTTGTAAAACTGAAAATATGCAAAAATATTATGATTAGAACATAATAGACAAAAAGTTTTAAAAACAATAAAAAGTAAAATTCACTGAAAAACTATACAGCTGGAAAATATAATATGGTATATAAATTCCTACAGGGTTAAATTTTTTTCATGTTCGAAAAACCTTTGTTACATTCTTTCATATCCCATTCAAAAATATCATAATAAGGATTCTTAATATGAAATGAATAATGCAATAAGAAGGGTCACATGAATTTAAAAAAAAAAAAGGGAAGCAGACATCCTGATGCATATACAGTACAAAGTCCGTAATGAAGTTTTTAACAGTTTTAAGGCTCCATTAAGTCTGGAATTACAAGAATATAACTGCTTCAACTTAATATTAAATATTCATAATTAAAGTTTTATTAAACACTCAGCTACAGAATTTTTTTTAAATATGTTAAAGATAAAAATTGCCTTCAAAAATGATGCAAAAACTAAATAGCTTAAGGAATATTAATGTAGATATAAAATTATTAATAACATGAAATTAAATTTTTCGTTTATTAATGACTATATTATTACTCTTCAAAGAATATAATAATCATGTATTACAAAAATATATGATAAAATGGGAGAAATTGTTTCATCTTCATGCACCGAAAAGGTAATATTTGAATACAGTGGAAGCTCAAATCTCAAACACCTCACTTCACAAACAACTCAGTTGATGAACAAAATATCTGCACAAAAAATGGTTTAAATGGTAAATGGTGTTGAGTTATGGATGCTCAAGTTGGTAGCAGATGATTTTGAAAAGTGGTTTGAGATAAACCTAAACCATATAGTTAACCCTCCAAGAAATTTCATTTTAATATTTTCCATTGCTTAACTCTTATTCACAACACCTGGTACCAAGCGACTTACAGGACCATGAATTTGGCTTGGAGCTACATTGGGTTCCAGACAACTGCAACTTTTTTTCATTATCTATACTTTTGCATCTCTAAGCTACACCACGGGCTAGGAAGATGTCAAGAAGTTACAGATAGGGCCAAAAAGGGAGGTCAAGAAAGAACACTAACTTCAAAAGCAGCAACAAAAGGCAAAATGAAAAGGGAGAAAAAGAAATTATCCTAATTTTTTCCTCCCTAGTATTTAAAAAATGGGGTAACATGCAAAGCTTGCACATAATGCTATCACCCTGATAAAGCAGCAGCAAGCTTATAAATATGTTCACTGAAGTGCCATGTCTCACTTACGAAGCACTTTAAAACCAACAACAAATCATCATGGGCAAATTTTGAATAAAACAGAGGCCCAAAGAGTCTCAAGAAGAGTAACACATAGAGATAAAAGAAGGCTCTCTTCAAGACAGTTATCTTAAATTTTTATGGAAGGAAATTTCACATTCAAATAAAATCTTCCTTGTCAATTTCCACTTATGCCATCCCCTCTCCATCATACAGGTATCAAAGTTTTTGTCTATTTTATCTGTTTAACACTGCATTTATCTTTTTTGTTTACACTTTTTTATTTCCATTGGTTTTGAGTTATAAACTGCTAATATATGAAAATAAACAGATGAATTAAAAAAGTAGAGTTTAATTTTACATGTAGTTCATTTTCTAAAACTAGGTGTGAGCACATATGCAAAACTCCCTTTTTATTCAGTTTTTAAGAGAGGAAATGAAATTTTCAAAAAAAATGTGTATCAAATTCTTTTTTATACCAAATTTATTATATTTTCTTTAACATTTTATTCTACATCATGAACATTGTTTTGCATCATAAACATCCATTAAATTATTAGATATATGTACAAAAAAATCCATAACTACTGAAGAAAGCTTTATAAATTTTACAGAAACAAAAAGAGAACAGTGCTACAGTAGAAGACCAGAAACCCACAATGCTTGCGACTAGAGGCTGCGCGGATTTTAGGATTTCAGAACAAGAAAACATTATTTAGAATAACAATGAAAAATAAATAAGGACATATATAGTAAAGAACATATACAAACATTAAGGACATATATAATAGACATGAAAATAAGGGACTTTAATAAAATATTTCTTAAAAACCTTAGGGTGCTCAAGAATAAGGTTTTTTTTGGGGGGGGATAAATTATTTAGTCAATAATCTCTTTCTGTAACACAGCTCTGTTGTTCTAAAAATTGTAGTTGTTTTTCCCCATATTCCAAACCTTCATTATAAGCTATTTTCTCACTCCTATCAAATTCACTATCTGTGTTGGTATCAGAATCATTTTCTTTCTGTACCAAGCTCAAAATAGAACTAATATTCTCATCATCAGTTATCTGATATGCTACTGTTGGCTTATCTGAAGACATCTATTCAACGACATCTTCTTGCAAAGCCCTCTCATTTGTTCTTTCTATCAAATATAAAAAAATTCTCTTACTTTAACCTTGCTGCACTGACCCTAAAACCAGAAGATTCATAGTCATTGCTTTGTTTCAATAAACAAAGAAGATGGCCATACATTATGACAGCCATTTACTAATGTTGTTTGAGAAATGCAATTCCACAATTCTGCCATCAACAGACAGATGCAGTCTTTGACATGGTGAAATCTTTTTTATAATCACAAAGTAAAATAGAATGGTCACCCAAAAGAATGTTTTTCAGAAACTCCAAATTTGCAGTGGGCATATAATACTATTTATTATATTCTGATCCTTTGGTTGGATCAATAATGTAGTACTTGGAAGGAAAAATAGCTGCAACATTATCATACATTAGGATATTTGCATTTGGATGTACAGAGCAATTGTCTAACAATAGTAAAAGCTTGCAATTTGATGATAACCGCACACTGTTAATACCTTCTAACCTCTTTAACGAAACATTCCATGAACCATTCCGTCCTGAATTGTTTCGTAAACCAGGAATTTTTATTATTCTTATAAATCACAGATAAGGATTTTAATGGGACCAGAATAGCTAACCATACAAAGGTGTGCAAATCATTTCACAAAGAAATGATCAAACTAAATACTTTCCTTGTTCAGCTCACAGTTTAAATTTAGTATGCAAAAAAGCTGCTTTAAGAAAATTCAAGTATGTTAATATTTTCTAAAGCTGTACAAAGGATTTATGACTTTTCATATCTTCAATGAGTTCATGGAATGCACATTTTAAAACAGCATTTAAACAATATGCAGTGGGCACCAAGTAGAAACACAACATTATTTAAAGAACTGAAGCTACAAATAAAAAAGTATATCAGTTTTTTCAATTGCAGTGGTGTGAAAATAATAACATTTAGGGACAAATCAGTTTTATTTTACGTATATCTGTATATTTAATACAGCAAGAAACCAAAAAGTAAGTAAAGCACGGCAATCAAAAACTATACATAAAGCTACATGTTTAACGGTGAGATCATATTTTTCTTTACAGCGGGTGAGAGATAATATTTAAAGCGTTCTTAAGAAATTTAAAAATTAGAACTTAACAGTTGGAAGAAGAAAGGAAAGGAATTCAAAATGGGAAAAGTGACGCTTACGGTCATCTGTTTAGCACTATTAGCAATGGAAAGTTTTAAATCTCCCAAAAGGTGAATTTATACTAAGATTTTTTTTAATTAAAATTGAAGAGCATAAACAAATGTTAGACAGAATATGACTATCTAATTCCTATTACTGAGGGATAATTTCCCAATCTGCACGAAACTTTAGATGCCAGTATTTAATTATAATTTCTGTTGAAATGTTATTTTCTTGATATAGTTATTTACCTATAAAACGCATTTCTATTGAAATGTCTAATATAGTTACACCCACGCCTGAATGAATATACAAATTGGCAGTATCAGACAAAATTATTAATTAGATCATTAGCATAATGAAAATGCATTACAGATTCCATATAAACGAAAAATTGTAATGCTTAATTTTGATACTTATATGTGTTACTCCAATCACTTTAGTAGATCTTCCCAAATTTTCAAAATTCTCGAAATTTTAATTACAAAGAGTGTGTATAAATCAAACAATTAAGTTTAAAAACAACATTGCTATTTTTATATGCATTCATTTTGCTCTATTTCAATGGTTTTCATAAACAAGTTGTGACATTTGTTTTCTCACATTTTTTTAAACATGTATATGTCAGATCTGCATCAAATAAAAGAAACTGCAGAAACACAGTATTTTCCTGCAAAATTAGTAAAGGAAAATAATTGCCTTGAATCTATTTTTAAAACACTCACCAAGAAATTTCCACCCGAACAAATGAAACAAAAATCACATATAAGTAAATTTACTGATTAATTTCAGAATAAATACTTAATTATAATTTAAAATATATATATGCAAGTATATTGTAATAAATAATTTTTGAAATTTTAAAGTCTTTTTCCTCCTCTCCCTCCCTGTGAAAAATTGCCAAAAATGAAACAAAAAAAAGTGTAGATGCACTAATACGTAAGTACCCAAATTTTGTATTAATACCTTACAGGCATAAAATTGCAAAAGACCACATGTTCAATACATTTCTCTTATTTTTCTGTAAAACTATGTTTAATTCATATAAACTTTCTTTAATGAAATAATGCACTTCATATTTTTATATTCATATATTAAATATTAAAATTTATATGATAAAAAAATAATTGATTACGCATATAAAATCAAATTCTGTTAACTTACTTCAAAACATATGCTGCAGTTAAGAAGACTAAATACAATGTAGTATAGATAATCCTAGGTTTCATTTCATCCTAAAACACAATAAATCAATAATATTTTAACATTATTTTTAAAATGTTACAAAAAAGAAATTACAAAAATGTTACAAAAAGGATCTTGGTTGAAAGAGGCCCTATTAATAAGACTGAAGTCCTACTTCTTGATTAATAACCGTATTTCCATCTTGAGTGTTACCGACCAAATCATATTCAATAGCAATGTAAGAAGTTGCATCTAGCCTCATATTACTTCATTATATGATAAGCCATCACATTACTTGATTTCTTATACATCATACATAGCCACTCCGTCTCCTGCTCTGCCACAGCAAGTTGTATAAACTGTACTTTCAGCATTGGGTGAATAAAGTCAGTTACATAGCTGTCTTTCTGTGATATGCAAACCAATTTGTAGGTTTGATTTTGATTCCTACTATTTTAAATGTGATGTTAAATATGCTTTAAACACGTTGTTAAATGTGATGTGTTGTTTATATAAAAATGAATATAAAAAGTAGATACTTGCACAAAATAGAAACTACTTGTGGATAACAACTCTGATTTGACATCTGACCCAAGTTAGTTCCTGGAGGCCACCAATTTCAGTTAAGCAAGAAATTTCACAACAAACTGCTTGAAAGACGCATAACTATCTGATACTTTTTAAAAGATAAACTCAATTTAGGATTACTGAACAGTTCCATAGCTGTTTTCGAAGCATACGATAAAACTGAATCTATGCTCAAAAAGTTTGATTTTCAGGAATTGTGTTGAAACGAATCAGACAGAAATATTTGAGATATTTTACAACTTTTTCACGTGGTTGATTTGCGCATGCGCACAACAAAACTAAATCAGAACTTTTTAGTTGAACTTTGAGAACTCGTTATGGACGTTTGGGTGAAACATGTAATCCACTTCTGTGTTACATATATATATATATATATATTATATATATAGCTTATTGATGTTATTGTAAATTAAATATCTTATTATCTTAGAAGCCTCTCTCTTTCTGTGAGTAGTCCCGCGAACGGGCTGGCTGCATGGGTGTTTTCGTGGTTTTCCCCATGTGTAACGTGTATACGAGCCAGTTTCCCTTAGAAAGTCCTCCACGAAGGCATCCCTCCCCTTAGGCAGATAGCCCTAGTGTGCTTTGCCATAATTAAATACAACAACAACTTTCTGTGAGTAGTGTATTGTGTAATTAAGAAAAATACTCCTGGATATGCCTTTGGAGAAGAAAGAAGATCGATTAAAAGGTAAGTCTTTTTACCTTTTATTTTCTAAGAATTATACACTCATAAAAAATAAGCTCACAAATGAAGTTGAACACTGTAACCCACTTAAAAGGCCTTGATGGTCCATTTTTTTGTATTTCATATCCATTTTACTTGAAATAAAGACAATTTTTATTATTTACTTGCAAAAAGAAAGTAATAAATATGGAATTTGGAAAGATTATAACAGCTAATTAAAAAAAGAGGTTAATTTCTGGGTTAATTTTTATACTACTTTTTGAAATAATCCTAATATTTACAGATCACACATTAGCATAACTGGAAAGCGGAGGAAAAAGAAGCAAATGCTTTATTTAAATAGAAATATGAGGCATGTTTTAAAGTAAATACTATTTGGAAATAAAAAAGAAATAAGTAAAATTTTCGTACCAATTTTATTTTATATGAAAGCCACATGCCTCAGTCTATTTTTCTACATTATTTATGTGAATTTTAAGGTATTTATTGTATCATACAACCAGTTTTTAAGTCTCCTCTTCATGAAAGTCTGCCACCTGATCTGACATCCATTGCAACATGGTCATTTTAACCTTACGATTGATTATCTTTGTGGCGAAGACCAACGAGATGCTTCTTCGAATGCAGGAAGAGCTGGAAGTCACTGGATGCTAGATTACAGAATGATCAGCACTGTACAGAAATTATTCCCAACAAAATGAAGCGATGAGATCTTGAGTTTGTGCAGCTGCATGTAGACAGCTATTGCCATGAAGCAAAATGATCCCCTATTCAGCATGCCATGCCTTTTGTTGTAGAACTTACTGTATCACTACAAGGCAAAAAATTTACAAGCAATGCCTCCGTTTTGTCCCAAAACAGAGTTTACATAATTTTCTGGACTTAAACTATTTGCTGGAACTTCACTCTCTTGGGTGATGATGAATGTCACCATTCCACGAATTGCTGCTTAGATTCTGGCATAGGGTCAGCCACGCAGGTTTCGTCATCTGTGACAGTTTGGCTTAAAATATCATCACCATCCTCACTGTACTGCTGAAGGAACATCAAAGAACTACCTAAATGTTTGGTTTTGTGCATCTTTGGTACTCGGCATGTGGACAACTTTCAATAATTTCAATAATTTAAGCATTCGCTCTCAATTTCATACAGAACACTGCATGAAACCCGAGGAAAGGTATCAAATAATGAAAAAAAAAGCATGTTTTGTTTCATTTATTCGACAACTTTCTGCCCCAAATAGTGAGTAATCACAGAAGACTGCCCACTTCGTTCATCATCATGAACATTCATGCGGCCATCTTTAAAAGCTCCAACCCATTACCATACCATTCTATTGCTCATTATGTTTCCTTCATACACTTCACTAATCTGGTGATGAATTTCAATTTCTTTCCCATCTTAAAACTAAGAAAACGAATCATCGATTGTATTTCACAGTCGGTGAGATTCTCAGTCAGCGGAGCCATTTTAAAACAAAGAATAACCTGTGGTTTGTCAACAGATGTAGGTAAACAGCACACATGGGCAGAACATCAACCCGGTTGAAAGTGTGCTTAATTTATAAATTTGCCTCATACTAATTTGACAGTACTTACATAGTTTAGATAGTAAATCTGCTACTTATTTTTTCTTCCCTCTAGTCTTTACTCTAATTCTTAACAGAATGTTTAGATCAAGAAAACCAATGCATGTGCGCAGATTTGCTTATTCAGGGGAAAATGGTGACGCATGCATGAAAATGAACTATTTGAGTACCTTTCAAAATAAAGCAAGAATTTTCAGTTTAAACTAATACATAAGTTGAATTCCATCAATCATTAACTTTAAAATGGTATACGACTGTTAATTACCACTTCCAAATTTTCTTCATTTATTAAAAAGCTTTCAAATAATTAATGCAGTAATAGCGAACTATCTGACATTCAATTAACTGAAAAAGTCAAACAATCAGTAAAGTTTAAATTTTTTTAACAAAAAAAATTAAATAAAAAAACTTGTAAAGTCATCATAAATCGCATATAGGACTGGAACCCTACCACCTTTAAATCTGAAATGTGAAAACAATAAGATGGCTCTCTTTCAAAATTACACCCTTCACCAACACCACCATTACTTCCATTGTATTGTTCAGAGAATTTATCTCTGGAACTGGACACTCCTCACAGAAAGAAAAGTAGGGAGTTAGTACAGCATGGGAATACATGAAAGATTCCAAAATTCCTGACAGGCACTCAGTCTGTCCATTACAAGAACTACTCCAGTCAGTCTATTTAATAATTTTAACTTTCCCATTAACCACCACAAATATATATATATATATCATCAATGCAGTTAGCATCAATAATGGATAAGCATGATGTCACAACACAGTCATAAAATCTTCACTTTGGCTGTATGAAAATCTCATCAATTCTCAAGAAGACAGTTAAGTTTTTGTAAATAAGAATATAAATTAGATATTAAAAATTTGTTTTTTCCTCATTTTTTGAAAAATTTATTAAAATTTGGCACCTGTCTTCAAGAGAACAACATGCATGGAATACTTTTAAAATTACATGATCCTGGCAGCAAGGGAAAAGTGTGAATTAATGGGCACAGTACATGACTTCATTTGAAAATGAATAAAAAATGGCAATAAAACAAGAAAAATTATAAATTAATTTTCCCCCTCTTACAGCACATAAAAAAAATACGACCAGATTTTGAAAAACTTGTAAACACACAAATAAACTTCAATTTGAAAACCACACGAAAACAGAATATTAAAAATTTTAACTAATTTAATTTTTGTTTAGAATTTTTCATGCATGACACATATAACATATGCAAGGTAAAAATAATTCCATGCATACACAATGAGGAAGTTATACTAAAGATGACTCATATAACTCATGTTAAAAATGACACATACAACATATGCAGGGTAAAAATAATTCCATGCATACTCTACACAATGTGAAAGTTAGAAAGCTACATCTCAAGATACAATAATATACAAATATAATTCACAAATTTTATGAAGGTAATATAATTCAATAGAATTCCGAAATTTAAGGTAGTATCAAATTTAACTGAAATGCACCATTTGAAAAAAAAAAAAAAAAAAAAAAACTCTTTTAATGAAAAATGCATCATCTACAAATGCAAGTTTAGTTTCCCAAAATCCAGTTCTTTTAATAAAACAGTGAAGTAACATACAATAATTCTTTTAAATGCAAAAACAGTTTTCTAAGCTTTACATTATGATGATCAACCTTTCTAATATGGAGCCAACAGAGCCATTTAGACCCAAGCAGTTAAATCTTTTAAAATCTTCAGTTACAATCGCCAAAAAAAAAATCTTTATTTAACTTCTAATTATTAAGCTCATTCTATGGCCATTTCATAAAAATTAAATATTTTATGTTTCTGGAAACTTTGTGTTTTAATATGTAAAAATGGATGACAAATAGCATCCTCCCCATAAAACCCCCAAAAAACGTTTTTTGCTCATCTAGACAACATAATATTCATATAGATCTTCAGTTGAAATAAAATGATTACATCACTGTACCCTCGAAATATGCACAGGTTTAAATAATCTAAATATTTATAGCTACAAGATCTAAAATAGTATAAAATTTATGGATTGACCACCGTCTTGATGCAGCTTTAACAATATACTTTCTAGCCATTTCAAGAATAATTTCTGCACCTCATCAGCTTCTATTAGATGAAATTTTTACGTTTTGTGAATTTTCTTATTATTACGAGATACTGCAATGCTTGAGATAATGTATTTTTTGTTTGCCTCTAGAATTGGGTGCTCCTTTGACTTTTTAAGTGAAAATATATAGATGTGTACATGGACAAACTCAAGGGAATGTGCAAAGCCTAGTTTTTGCATTTCTCTGATGTTAACCCATTAACCGCCAAAACTACAAGGAATGTTTCTTTTCTCATGAAAATAATAACAAATATTAAATTAAGCATTTATAACATAAATTTACATTGAAAATATTAAAAAATGCTCTTACTTGTGAAAAAGCGAGTGTTGCGTTCGCGCAACGTCAGCGGAATAAAGACTACGGATATTTAGTGAGTACGATTGTACTTGTGTGATGTTTCTTTTGAGTGGAGCGCAGGATTACTTTTTAGCTGTATAAAGTTTTATAAATCTACAAACCACTTAATAACTTAACCACCAGACAGCGTAATTAATTTAATATTAAAGTATACATTGTATTTCTTTTACAAATACAGATTATTTCAACTGAAAGATTCAAGCATGAAAAGCTTGATTACAATCATGATGTAAAACTACATTAAATACTTTGCATCTGTAAACAGGCTGGCTATGATACTCTTTACAACAAAGTCTTTTGTTATCAATGGACTTTACGATAAAATGTCTACCATCTCCATGCAATGGTTTTTGAATGCTGAATTTACTAGGTCTTCCTGTGGCTGACTTTTTCTGGCTAATTCTACACTCTCAATAGAAGTTTGCAAAAGGAATAATGCATTCTCGTGTCTGAAATCTAAAAGTCTATATTTCCAGTAGTAAAAAGTGGTGATATTTAGTAAGTTTAGATATGGTCTCACCTCATATAATTTATCAATATTGTCAAATGTAAATTCTGCTTCATATTCCTGTACTGCAAACGTGATATTGATTCTCGTACAAGAGAAACAGAAATGTCCTTTTCAAAAGACCAATACATCTTTTCTTGAGGTAAAGAATGATATCCTGTAAGCAATAATATTCCAATGTTTAACAAGAAGAGAGTAAATGTCTAAAACCAAAAAGAAAATCGAAAATCTGCGCACTAGTTTTACCTTGTATTTTGTCTTTTATAATTTCTCTTCTATCTCTTTCTTCATGTTCTTCCTGAGTCATAACTAACAGTTCCTTTTTTATCCACTTCAAGATTTCAGTCTTCTGCTTTTTAAACTTTTTAGTATGACTATAACTGCTTTTAGAAGACTGAAACTTACTTCTTACGTGAATCTCAACTTTCCCAGCAGTATCATTTGGTAAAATATCATTATCATTATTTAAAACATTGCCATTCCTTTCTTTTTTGTCACTAGCCTCTGCAATTTCTGGGGGAACAACAACAATATCAGTTTCATTCTGGTCATTATTAACATTATCATCATCTGTTTCTTCATCAAAAAATCTTTGAAGGTCTTCTAATGTAAGATACCTCGTTCTAGGCATTTTTAAACAACCAGAACATAACCGGAACATCGAACGGAATGAGTGAAAAAGGAGATTGACTACCCGTTTTCTGCTGACGTTGCGTAACACCTATTTTCCCTTCCTTCCCAACACAAATATAAACAGCTGACTGATGTAATGTTCTGATAAACGGTGACCTTGACTAAAAATAGATCACTCATAAAGACAGCAATTCTTTCGCTAAATATTTTCAGCAAAAATTCCCAGTCGAAAATTTTGCTTAAATTTTGCTCAAAGTAAGAGATTAATTATTATAAACAAAATGATTGTTGAAGGGAATATTGTTTTACAGAAATAATCTTCATAATATTCCCTACACAAAATCATCTGCTGGTATAAAATATCTTACGTAGTTATATTTATATACGTATTTATTTTGACCGTTGCGTCAACGCAACATCAGCGGCTAATGGGTTAAGAGTATTAGCGCAAAGTTGTTTCATTTATGGTGGGTTGAATGTTATGGAAACCCTACTATGACATAACAGGTTGCATCATTGCAATAAATTCATTAGGGCTTGTGGTGTGCACTGGGTAGGAAGTATATTGCTGGTTTCGTGGTTTAGATGGTAAAATGGCCAAATGTGGTAAGATTAATCTGAAGTTTCAAGAGCATTACGTGATTGGTGTGTAAATGAAGGTTTATTTAGTAGCCATTATTAGGTGTCCTGTTTGTAGGAAGGAAATGTGTATGGTCGAACGTCGCTGCGGAGTATATTTTTTACTCTTGTTTTGCGAATTTGTGTGTTGATGCCAGTATACAGATTCTAGTTCACATAATTTTAGGAAGTTTTTAGATGCTGTTAAGGAATTTTGTTTGACTGAAGACGTGTGAATTCGTAAATAAGGTAAGACGATATTTCCGTTGTGTAGTGCAAAGATGAAGTTCCTTTTTTATGCTATTTCATTGTTTCATTTAAAATGCAGTTTATTGAGATTGTATTTTTTTTTTTTTTTTTTTTTTTTTTGTTGGCTGCTCCTTTGACTTTTGAAGTGAATATAAATCATGGGTAAACTCAGGGGAGTGCGCAAAGCCTAGTTTGTGGAATTCTCTGATTTTTTTCAAGTGAAACTAGGTCAATGTGTACATGGATAAAGTCAAGGGAGTGTGCAATGCCATTTTTGTGCAATTCTGGGATTTTTTTTTTTAAGTGAAAATAGGTTGCTGTGTACACGGACACCGAGTTTGTGCAATTCTTTGTCTTGTTATTTTGGCTTTGTGTAGCGGCGGTTTTTCAATCGGCGCTATGCAAGACAAAATAACAAGTCAAAAAATTGCACAAACTCGGTATCCATGTACCGCCAAAAATCGCCAAGTTTTGCCAAGGGGTACCCATAAATATACTTTTACAGACCATACATCTCGTTTTAAACAACTTGGAATTTGTCGTTGAGTGCAAAATGCATATGCCACTACAGCTGTACACTACATATCAATTCTTTTGTTAATATACATAATGGGAAGAGATCATCAAAGTTCAGGATTTTTTTTTTTTTTTTTTTTTAGTATGTCAAATTTTTCCACTATGTGTTCCAATGATTGAGATTTACTTTTCCCTGAATATAACAAAGGAATCAAAATACATGTTTCGATCTAAATGAGTATAAAACTTTTAACTGTATTTATCTCGTTCAAATAAATAACAGTATAAATGGCTATCTATTTTACTGGGAAGTAAATGATCTGCAAAAGCAAATGCATTATTATATCAACATGACCAAGTTACTTGTATTGAGAAGGATGTAAGGTAATCTATATAATTACACTTAAAAAGATCGAATTCAGAGTCAAAAAGCATACTTATTCACTTGATTAATAACCAGAGGCAATTACTTTTGGAATTATGCTTGACATTAGCCAACTTTCTAGATGCAACATAAAATTTCTTCATATTAAAATGCATGATAAAAAAAACTTTTGCTGTGCTCTTCATGTAAATTAATTAAAATCCAAAAATAAAATGCATAAGGAATACAATGGCAAATGAACATCAGCGTCAGAATGATATTAACAGACTTCCCATAGTTTGATCAATCAACTAGTTTAACTTATTGCATGAAATCTTAAAAAATTATTAAATGAAGAGATAATTAGGTAACTGCTAAAGCATATAAAAAGAAGTAAATTTTGAAGAAGGATCTTAATAGTAATCTAAATTATCTAATAATTTTTACTTACTTTTTTAACTTTCTGGAAATACAATTCAGGATAACAATGAAGCCAGTATGCTAACTGCACTATGAAGTAGAATTTGAACATAAATCTAAAGAGAGAATACATGTAGAAAATATAAATTTTTGATTTAGCATAGTATCATTGCTTGAATATACACAAAGACATCAGATTTGGAAAGTAAATATGCAAAAATTAATCATTCATAAAATACAGTGCAAAGTTTTTGAAATAAAAAGCCACATGTTTATAACAATTACTTACACTAAAAAAGTTTTAAAATTTCCAACATTCTTTAATACAACTGACAAGATTAATAGTTATATAAATCAGGTCAACTTAAAAGAGGCAAGCTAGTCCAAGGTTTTTACTAATACTGTCAGGAAAATGCAGGTCATCAAAGATATGAGGCCTTTCCTTAGAGCCTAGGGCAATGTTTGTACACTAAGATGATATAAATAGTTCATTTATTGATAAAATGTTTATGCTCATTTAATAAGATGGCCTAATTATAGTAAATTACACTGGATTTAGTTAAATTTTGCAAAATACATAACAAGGAAAATGAATTTCATTAGCGAAAATTCATTTTAGCGAAGCATAAAAGTTCATAAAAACTAATTAATTTCACTACATCATTTCACAAATTTAGTTACCTTCTTTTGGGTTGCTAAGTTTAATTCACTTTTAGGGGGGGCGGGTGGTGTAAGTTCTGGAAACTGCCACATTTCTGTTTTTCTTCTCTAACAATTAGTAATTCAGTATGATCAGCGAGACAGTTAGATGTAGACATTGTTTTGCACTTTACCCATCAAATATTAGATTACAATGTAAAGTACGCAAATGAGAACAGGCGATGGAGATGAGAAAAAGGTAATCAGATGAGAATGGTTTACAAAATGTAAAGAATTTCGGTAAGCTATACAGCTACTCAATAGATTATTCAAACTTTAATAACATGATATTAAAAGGGATTTTCTGACCCAAAAATTCCACCACATTTTTTGACGACTCAGAATAAATATTTTACAATTTGCTCAGCATCTGGGCTATTAGAGTTCAAGAATATTTCAACCTATATTATAATATCAACCATTTGGCTCAGTGAAAGCAAGTTAAATCCAATGTATATCTCTAATAAGATCTTCATATAGGATGCTGTATTCATGTGTCCATATGATGCTTCTTTTCACTGTGAATGTTACCGAGTACGCTTAGAATGTGGATTCTTGGGTCAATCCCAGTTGTTTGCTCAATGTCGATCCCTGTTTCCTCTATGGCTTCCACTGCATTTACAGTTTATGTGCTGCCATTTTACAGCTCAAGGAATGAGCACATCACAGAGTGTGCACTAAATTGCACTAAATCATTCAAAAATGCGTCATAGCAGAAAATGATCGGACTTCCACAAGTGAGACAAGAAGTTGATTTCTCAGTTGAATAGTAATAGTCTAAAATGTTTTCATTTACATAACTTCTGAATCATATAATTGTTCAGAAACAAAAATCTGAGGAAGATAATGAGTTTACCCTTAGCAAATCCAAAAACTAAAGATCTGAGAAAGGAAAAAAATCGCGAAATCTAACTATACTTAGAAGACAATCACCCCTGTAAAATATGAAAAATAATTTTCAAGCCTTACACAAATAGTTAAAATAAAGTTTTCAATATTTAATGAAATATTAAATTCACTCTCTACTATACAAAGTAATTTTGAAGAGGGGGAAAATGTCATAACATTGAAAAAGGTTCAGCAAAAATCATTAATATTCATGAATTCTTATCAGTGAATTTTTTTCTGGCATTTTAGGGATGGGTCATTTAAGGAGTGTCCTATTTTGCATTATGATAAAAAAAATATTTTACATTTGCTAAATGATAAAAAGAAACAACTGCATTGCACAAATGTAACTCCCAATGAATTCCCAGATATATTTCAAAAGGATGACATTTCAGAATAGATAAAACGCAGAAAACAGCGATTTGAAATTTTGAAGCTTTGAGTGATGAATAAATTTCTATTCTTTAGTATAGATCCAGAGAGCAATCAAAATTGTAGTGATGAAAATAATGAAGCAGAAATGGGCAATGTGAAATTAAGCCAAGTTCTGAAAAATGTATTCTGATAATGGGCAAAGCTTACTTGCCTAAAGGGAGAGAAGCCTACAGGAAAAATTTTGAAGGTAAACTAGTTTATATTCACATTACATAAAAGGAAAACTACAAAACCTGCCTTGCATCCAATCTGGTTTGGACTAGTAGTTTAGCATTTTTAATGCTTTAGTGAGTGCTGATATCTTGAAAAAAGCTCTTTAACCCTCCCAACAACATTCCTTTCCTCCAAAATATACATATATGTACTGCATTAACTGTCTGGATGCATTTCGAGATGCATGTTTATGTATTTAAAGATATTATGACTAATAATTTTTAACATGTATATAAGAGTATCGTTTTTTTTTTTTTTTTTTTTTTTTTTTTTTTTTTTTTTTTTTTTTTTATTTTACAACATACATATATATATATATATATGTAAGATAAAAATGTATGAATCAGAATTATAATATAATTATAAATATTAATTCTTCCTCTCTATTCTATTCTAAAATCGTAATAACTTGTCTGCATTGCGTCATTCAAATTAATTATGCGATCTTACGTAACCGTTAATACCAGATGCCTCTTGACAACAAATCACCGAATTGTAAACCAAAACTTTTCTCTTCGCATGCTTCCATCTTTCATAACGACGCACTTCACCTCTTGCTCTCTACTGTGCTAAGATGTAATTTCGCTGGCTTGCTTTCTCCCAACAACATCAAAAATGTAAATCATCTGTGGAAAGGCACGACTAGAGTGCCAAGTGATTGTGGCCACAAATATCAATTGGAAATAAAAATGGAATTGAAACTGCCTCGACTGCCAAGTTCTTTAAATACTACGCAATCAAAATTCTTCTTCTTCAATATGGATCTAAGCACGCATCTACAGTGTTCCGTCTTTTTTCCTTTGCTCTTATTATGACAATTAAGCCGGCAGGATAGTTTCCTGCAGCCTGAAACCTCAATGGAAAATTTAGTTCAGCTCTTCAAATCATCGTTTTGTGTAAATCCAAGATAAAGTGAAAGAAGTGAATCTTCAAATTTGTTTTTTGCAGTGTTTAAAAAATAACAGATCATTCTTCTGCTATGGTGTTTTGCAAGTGCTTCAAAAAATAATCACGCGTAGTGTTTACAGATTGAAAGTAATCTCTCGATAAATTGAGAAGTTCGAATGCCTATTGAAAAGGAAATCATCAGTGAATTACCGTTAAGGAATTATGCATTACAGTGGGTTCAAGGTCGATCTGAGTTAGTGTTTGCAAGTATGTGTGACAGAAAATTATTTGCACTTCCACTTTTTCAAGAGTTCAAAAATTATTACATTCGTGTGAATCTAGCTCAGGAACTAAATTATTTAATGTGCTGCGAATTCTATAGTTTTCATTTCAACATTGGTTAAAATTTATGCAATTTGTTTTGAGAAAATCTCAAATTCTTGTTCATTAATTTTTCTAATTTATCATAATTATGTGTGAGCAAATTAAGTAACGAAATTTAAGGTATTTAAATTATTCATAGGGAAGGATATTAAGATAAGTTTTTATGTTTTTGAAATTTTGTTGAGAATTTTGAATACGAATTTTATAATTATTCTAAAAATGAAGTAGGTGTAAAATATAAGTGAAATTATTACAGATAAGTAATATGAAATTATGGTAAATGCATGTTAAGATTTGTGGGTTATTGTGTGTTAAGTATAGTATGATGAGGGTGTACTGGTTCCTTCAACAGAGGCCTGTAATTACCTCTGTACCAGTTTTTCCTTTTACCCTCTTCATGCAAGATAATGTTGGAGGCTCTCATTTTATGAATGCATGTAGATTTTTTATATTATTATATTTTTTTTATTATGGAATGTATTAATGCAGTTCTCAAAGGCCAGTTACCTTAATGCAAGGAACGGAGGCCTTTTCAAGTAACTGCCTAGGCACCCTGGGCCACCAGTGCAGAGAACACACTGGTTAGCTCAAGAGGACAGCCCTATTGATGGATATGTTTGTTTAGAAGTATTGCGAGGCTTCCAGTTTAGTAAAATCAGGAATTGTAAATGGAAAGATGATAAAGGTGAAACCATAAATTCTGAAAATCTTAATCCTATTATTTATGATGCTAAATTATAATTTATCAGTATGGAAATAAGTATCATAAATATTTATGTGCATTACATTTTATTATAAGCAATGATTGTGTAAAAGTTTATTTTGTGAGATTCTGTAATAACAAGAACCTTCCCTGAAGAATTATGATTATGTGAACTCTCAAACAAAAAGACTTTTGGACTGAAATGCTGAAAAATTCAATAGGACTCTAAAAATTAAAAATTTATTTTAAAAAAATTGATATTTATAAATTATACTTTTATAGAATCAAAATTTTATGATTTATGTTTTTCCTTTTTTATTTGCTAGTGCTTTAACTCTTTCTCTTTAAAAAGGCTTCTCTGTCGCTACGCCTTTTTCTTTTTGAAGGGGGGAAATATGTAAGATAAAAATGTATGAATCAGAATTATAATATAATTATAAATATTAATTCTTCCTCTCTATTCTAAAATCGTAATAACTTGTCTGCATTGCGTCATTCAAATTAATTATGCGATCTTACGTAACCGTTAATACCAGATGCCTCTTGACAACCAATCACCGAATTGTAAACCAAAACTTTTCTCTTCACGTGCTTCCATCTTTCATAACGACGCACTTCACCTCTTGCTCTCTACTGTGCTAAGATGTAATTTCGCTGGCTTGCTTTCTATCCCAACAACATCAAAAATGTAAATCACCTGTGGAAAGGCACGACTAGAGTGCCAAGTGATTGTGGCCACAAATATCAATTGGAAATAAAAATGGAATTGAAACTGCCTCGACTGCCAAGTTCTTTAAATACTACACAATCAAAATTCTTCTTCAATATGGATCTAAGCACGCATCTACAGTGTTCCGTCTTTTTTCCTTTGCTGTTATTATGACATATATATATACAGTAAAAAAT